GTTTGGGAAATAGACTGACTTGTTTGTGCCAGTTTGAGTTTAAGGCTCATTTAAGACTTTAGGTGGAGATAGCAATTAGGCAGTTAAAGGTATGGAGTTCAGAGGAGAGGTCGGGGCTGGAGATTAAAAATAATCATCACGTGTCCTTTGTAATGGAGTTATGGGGATGATGAGACTGGCTGGGGAGAGGAGGGATTCATGTGAGCACAGTGCCAAGGCGCCCCAACTCTAAGGACTGGGCAGGAGAAGAGGAGCCCACGAAGGTGAAAGAGGAGGAAGAGCAGAGACAGAGATACAGGAAAGCGCAGAAGCCCAGAGCCAGCCAGAGGGTAAGAGCTGGGTGAGAAGCCAGGAGTGGTCCCACAGCCAGGTGCTACTGGGAAGTTGGGCAAGACCAACTAGACATGGTCTGGGCTGCTTCTGCCCCTGTGAATGCAGAGGCCAGCCGGAGTGGGCCCTGGTGGGCCAGTGGGTAGGAGGTGAGGCCATGGGGGTCGTGAGGACAGAGGGCGCGAGGGTTTGTGCTGGGGTTGTGGGGAAGAGCACAAGAAGCAAGAAGAGGTTTCTGGTGTTTTTTGGTTTTTTTTTAAAGGATTTAAAAAAATATATTGATGCATACAGAACTGGGGTACAGGCCAGAGGTGCAGGGGCAGTGAAGGATTCACCAAAGACAGAGGGGTGGGGGCAGAACAGGCAGATGGATGAAGTACATTGCTGAGGGGAGCAGCAGGCAGGTCAGGAGAGGTCTACCGCGCATGTGGGTCACCTCCGGGGCGGGGATTGAACTCGCGCTAAAGCAGCCACAGCTTGGCTTAGCTTCGCAGTGCAGCGCACCAACCCGCTTCACTATGGTGCTTTGTTTTAATGGGGAAGATGGAACAAGTCAAGGGCAAGAATCCAATTAAGAAAATGAGAGAAGTGAAATGGAGAAGACAGAGTTGTATGTGTCCTGGGTGGCTACAGGAAGTTTTTTGAGTTTACGAGGATGAACAGCGCTTGCGGTGGGAGAGGCTGAGGAGATATGAAGGGAGGGCAGGGAAGAGTGCTGGGGCAGGCAGGGGCTCTGATGGGGGCCGCAGCGCCTCTCTGTGACATCAGGGTTGGGGGGCGGCTGTCTATGGTGCTTTGTGTGTGGGGGGTGCCGCCAGAGTGGTGTTCACACATGCGAGCCTGTGGGCTGAGGGGCGCATCTCAGAGAAGTGGAAAGAGCTGAGGCCCTGGCCGCCTTTGGGGGGAGGGAGTCGGTCACTGTGAAGTTCCCAGGTAGCCGGATTGCGGACTCAGACCTTGGGGTGCGGGGCACCTTCTCCAGGAGAGCCCAGCAATGGCTGCTGGGTTAGCCCAGGTTCGGGGTCTTGCCCCAAGTGTTTGTCACAGAGTCAAAGGCCCAGGTAGTCTGGAGTTTGGGAATGAAAGGCAGCCCGTAAACACACAGGAGGACGGGGAGGGCGGGCGAGGTCCCACCAACTTCCAGCAAACCGGAATCTTCCAGCAAATTTTAAACAGTAGGGTGGTTAGGATGAGGCCAGCTGGATGCCGGGAGCTTCTGTCCTGAGGCCACTGGGGAGCTACTTGGGAATGTGTGTGCCTGACTGACAGAGCGGCCCCTGGAAAGCGCACCCCATCTGTCTGCAGGGGGGGACTAGGGCTGAGGAGTGAGGCTGAGGAAGGGGTAGGGTGGCTGCAGGGAGGGACCCAGACAGGGGCAGGCACGGGACAGACAGCTCCTTCCAGCCAGAGGGCAGAGCCTCGCTGGTGGTCAGGATGAGAGAGGACCCTGGAGGACTGAGGCCACAGCGGTGGCCTCAGGGTGGGGGCAGGAACTGGCCTGGGAAGTGACCAGGCTGGTGAGGAGTTCAAATTTTAATGAGCTTTGTCAGAAACCCCTCCGTCCCCCCAGAGCGCAGGGACCCGCCCTTTGTGCCCACTGTCCCAGGCCTGGAGAAGTGACTTGTCCTGTCACAGCCCAGGGAGAAGCTCGCCCCACCCAAGCCAAGGGGGGTGAAGCGGAAGTGCCACAGCCCCCACAGCTTGGGCTCCCGGCCTCCAGCAGCACTGTCCGGGAGTGAGGCAGGTGCACCCTCGAGCCGCCCTCTCCCCTGAGGACAGCGAGGCTTGAGACTCTGGACTCAGGGCAAAGCCACCCATGGGGGCTGTTCTTTCAGCACAGCCCGCTTCTCTGAGCTGGGAAGGAAGCGCAGGGTCTTCCGAGCCTCTGCCTTTGCTTGACCGCCAAGATCAAGGGCTGCCCCTTGCTCACTGAGGCCCCAGGGCCTGCTGAGCCCACCTGCCCAGTAGGCCAGCCCACCCAGGTGCGCTGCTGACCTGTCCCTTACAAATGTACAGCAGACCCCTCATCTCATGACTTAAGCCTCCAGCCTGTCACTAAGTTCATCAAATAGGAGAAATTCAAGGTTTCCGTAACCTGTCTCTCCAGGTGGACACTCTCGTGGCCCCCTCCCCCCAAGTCCTGACACAGTGAGAGGTTTCTTAGCTCCGGAGGGAGCACAGTCTGACACTGTGCCCTGGGGTGGCTGGGTTCGAGTAATGAGGGCCACACACAGCTCCAGAATCATCCTTGAAAGCTCCATGTGGATGAAGCCTTGTCCACATCATCCCTGGGCCAGAGGTCAGGCGTGTGGGCGCCCCCCTGCTCAGGGTTTCACGGCTACTGCGCCTGGCGTTGCTTCACCTGCCCCATCAACCCACCTTCTTGCCCTCTAGGGCTTTGCACAGGTGGTTTTCGTGCCCAAACCGCTCTTCTCCCCTGACCGCCTTCACCCTGCTAGCATCAACAAGGTCTTCACGGGTAGTCACACCATCCAGACCCACTGACTCTGCTTCCCCACCGCAGTCTCTTCACCTGCGCAGAAGAGACACAGAGTTATCTGTGCTCTCTATGGGGCAGAACCCTGCTTTCTGTCCTCCACTGTACCCCCAACGCCTCACCGCAAGCCTGCTAAATGCACATGCCAAATGCAATGGAGTGCGTGCAGGAGTCGTGAATAAGTGGTCTCTGTCCTTCAAGGACCTAAAGATGGTGCGATGGAGATCCTGCCGTCGGTGACAAGCTGTGCAGAAACAGAAGCCAGGCTTAAGAAGTAGGTGTGCAGCTTGGGGTGATGATGAGGAACACAGGGAAGGGGGTGAGGGAGGGTGAAAGTCCAAGTGGAGTATTCTAGGGTGAGAAAGAAGGGCTGTTCCAAGGGAAGTCGGCAGCCCAGGAGAGAAGCCAGCGCAGGCGCACGAGGCATCGGGGGGGCCAGGGATGTAGCAGGGAGTGTGGGGGCCAGCTGGGGTGTGGGAGAGTGGGGGTGATGGAGGGGGCGGATCATGAGTTATGCTGTAGAAGCTGAAGGAGGACAGACAGGCCCTAGGGAGAGAGGGGCAGGGGTTAACTTGTAGGGTGAGACCTGACCAGGGGCATGGCAGGACAGGAGGGCGTGGCCTGGACCGAGCGTGGCCAGGATGGGGTGTGGCCTGGATGGGGTGTGGCCTGGACGGAGGGCGTGGCCTGGGTGGGGTGTGGTCTGGGCGGAGGGCGTGGCCCGGACGGAGGGTGTGGTCTGGGTGGAGGGCGTGGCCCTCTACCCCAGGAAATGGCACCCATGCTGGGTCAGATACTGGTCGAGTTCACTTCAGTGACTTGGAGAAAAATGAGTGGAAGAAACATGGTCCGCTGGAAATAGAGTAGTCCAGAGCCTTTGGGGTGCACCGGGAAGGGCAGGGGAGTCTGGACCAAAGGCAGGGCAAGGGTTGGGAGGGATGTGGGGCTGGTGGTGCTCCCTGGGCTTGGGGAGGGAGGGAGGCCCAGGAGTGCAGAGCTGCGGGGGCGGGTGGTCCCCTGAGAGAAGGGCGAGGAAGGGCCGGGCTCAGGGCGGGAGAGCTTGGAGGTCAGCCTGGGACTGGGAGCTGAAGAGTCCACTCCGAGGGTGGATGCATTTGAATAAAGCTGGAGAGAAAACTCAGCTGTGCTCAAATAGACAGACATGAAGTCACACAACAAAAATTGCCCAAATAAAATAAAAAGGACATAGAAAGAAATTGAGCTTCCCCAAAGAATGACTTAGCAAAACGACTCTTGATATCGTCTCAATCCCAAATCCTTCCAAGTCTAGTCATATCTGGCAAGAGAAATATTACGCAGTTGTCATAAATTCAGTTCCCACCAAGAAGTTGCTGGGAGCGTGGCTATCACGTGGATCACTCCACCCTCCTGCCGGCTCTGGGAGGTACAGACAGGTGTCCCTGGTCAGAGAACAGAAAAGATAGCCCGAGTCCCGGGAAGCTGAAAACCCACCTGAGCCTCAGAGTTGGAGGCCAGCCCAGTGCTGTCCTGCTCCAGACGTCGGCCTCGGGGTGGTTCCGTCTGGAATTCTCGGCCAGCCTTGCCGGGCGGGCCGGTGCATGTGCTGGGACAGGCAGGCGTGTCGCGAGCCTCAGCTCAGCCGCGGCCGCCTTTGCTCGGGGCACTGCAGGACCGCAGAACCAGCTCCGCCTTCCGTTCGCTCGGGTTCAGAAGGCGAGTAAATGCCCGGGTCTGGGGGTGGACCGTGAGGGCGAGGAATCGATTCGGTCTTTACGAGAGGAATTAAGGACGCTTGGAAGGACCTGCAAGGAATGGGAGATTCCTTCTGGCCACTACAGTTCGGACTTTACAGTTTGCTTTCGGTGGGGAAATGACCGAGAGCAGTGCATTCCTAACTTTAAAAGGGCAGTGGGCATGGGTTCTGGTATTTGGGATTGAGTCCTGCACAGACTGGCTGTGTGACTTGGTCGGTTCCACAAGCTCTCGGAACCCGCTCACCATCTGTGAAACAAGGACAGCCATAATGGCTGCTGTGAGGGCCCAATGGCCGGGGCCCTGTCCACTGTCCCACTCATTCCCTTTCTGCAGCCAGTTTCGTGGGGCATGGAAAGGCTCCGATTCCGGGCCAGGATGCTCAGCTCACCTCCCGTCCATGTCTTTCTCCTCTCTTGCAGACTTACTTCATTCCAAAATGGCACCCGCCTTTTATGGAGTGCTCCTAGTGATTAGCCTCTGTGCTCCTATCCGCTGTGTGCATCCATCCAGGCCCCCTAACCGAGGTGCTCCCCAACCCTCCTCCACAAAGGGCACCACCACCTCCCAGGTGGCCTCCAGCAACACCGACTTCGCCTTCCGCCTGTACCGGAGGCTGGTGTTGAAGACCCCGAATCAGAACGTCGTCTTCTCTCCCCTGAGCGTCTCTGCCTCCCTGGCCATGCTGTCCCTCGGGGCCCGCTCCACCACCAAGAGCCAGATCCTCCGGGGCTTGGGCTTCAACCCCCAACACACGCCAGAGGCGGCCATCCACCGGGGCTTCCAGCATCTGGTCCACTCCCTCAACGTCCCCAACCAGGACCTGTGCGTGAAGATGGGGAGTGTCCTCTTCATCAGGAAGGAGCTGAGGCTGCAAGAACAGTTTTTGGTGGATGTCAAGAGGCTGTATGAGGCGGAAGTCCTCTCTACCGATTTCTCCAACACCTCCACTGCCCTGGCGCGGATCAATGGCTACGTGGAGAAGGAGACCAACGGGAAGGTCGTGGGCTTAGTCCAAGAGCTGGAGCCGATGACGGCGATGGTCCTAGTGAACCACGTTTTCTTTAAAGGTAAGACTCCGAGAGGTTGGTTTTGATTTGAATGGTTCTTTTTTCTTACCTCTCCCTCCCATCCAGTCAAACAAGAAGCTAGACAAACTCTGACAGCGGGGTGGTGACCGGGAGCGCTTAGTTCTGACAAGTCTGCAGTGAGTGGGTTGATGGCCTGGACCGCTCACTGGACTTACCTCTCAGGGCACGCGGGGTGTACTCAGTTCTGTCTCGGAGAGCCCAAGTCTGAGCTCTGAGGGTCAGTGAGCAGCCCAGAGAACAATCTGGAAGTGGTCTTGGGCAGAAGAAGCTCATCTCCTGTCACCAGGAGCTGCCCAGAGGGCAGCTGGAGGAGGCCACAGAGCTCCCTGGCAGCCCAGCTGAAGAAGCAAACCTAGGGTGTGAACACTTTATTAGGGGAAAGGTGGCTAGTCAATATGACGGTCATTCACAGCCCCTGGGCATGTGGCAAGTGCTTTACAGTTTATATAGACACTGTGCCCTAGAGAGCAGGCAGCCCTGGGGTGAAGGCACTGTGCCCTAGAGAGCAGGCAGCCCTGGGGTGAAGGCACTGTGCCCTAGAGAGCA